CGTCGGGGGGGAGCGCCCCCCCCCCCCACCCGGGCTATTGCCCAGGGCTGAGCGGGGCTCACGGTGTCTCCCGTGCCCGGGCGGAGGGGAGGAGGCGGCAGGGCTCTTATCAGGCTGCGCAGTGAGATGAGCATTTCACGGGCTTCTCTTCAGTCCATCTGTCTTAGGTTTCCTGAAACCTGTCTCATTCCGCATGTGAAATCCCTCCCCTGTGCGTCAATCTCCTTCTCCATCACTAATGCACGCCTTCTCCCGCACATCCATCTGGTAGGACCCCCGGGCGGAGGGGAGGAGGCGGCAGGGCTCTTATCAGGCTGCGCAGTGAGATGAGCATTTCACGGGCTTCTCTTCAGTCCATCTGTCTTAGGTTTCCTGAAACCTGTCTCATTCCGCATGTGAAATCCCTCCCCTGTGCGTCAATCTCCTTCTCCATCACTAATGCACGCCTTCTCCCGCACATCCATCTGGTAGGACCCCAAGCCTGGGTTCCAGTACAGCCGTTCTCTTCACTGCTCCTTTGCCTTAGCAATGAAATGCACATTTCCATGTTTGCTTGCAGTGTGAGAAAACCCAAGCCAAGAAGAGACGGTCCAACCAGGCAGATGTTCCCGATCAGCTGCGTCAAGAAGTAGAAAGTTGCTATAGGCTCAGGATGCCTGAAGATTTCTATCAGTTCTGGAAGTTCTGTGAGGAGCTGAAGCCCGACAAGCCAAGTGGTGGGTTCTAAAAACTGGGACTTGTGCATGCTGCATGGCTTAACTTGAGTTCCTTCAATGATTTTAAAGAATGTTCATTCAACGTGGGTGTGTATAAAGATTTTTCCTTTAGTGGTACCTGTAGGAGCTGGCTCAGGTGCCCTCTGGAGCAGCATGCATATGCTGCACTATATAGGGCATCTCCAGTTCCCTCAACTTTCAGTTCCTTTTTGCTGCCAGTGACGGTACTTGGTACCTGCTCGTCTCAGTGTTAGATGTTGAACGTTTCCCAAGTTAATCTTTATTTTCCCTGTAAATTGTTTCTATTGTTAGTGTGCACAGTAAATAGCTAGTGTGGGTCCAGGAAAGACCAGGAGAGCTGGCAGTATTTTAAAGAAGCCTTATTAAAGGCACAGGAAGAAACCATCCCGAGGTTTAGCAAGAAAAGCAAATATGGGAGAAATTGGAGAGGGTCCAGAGAAGACCATGATTAAAGGTCTAGAGAACATGACCTAGGAAGGAAGGCTGAAAGAATTAGGTTTGCTTAGTTTAGAAAAGAGAAGATAGCCATTTTCAGGTATCTAAAAGGGTGTCACAAGGAGGAGGGGAAAAACGTATTCATCTTGGCCTCTGAGGATAGAACAAGAAGCAATGGGCTTAAACTGCAGCAAGGGAGGTTTAGGTTGGACATTAGGAAAAAGTTCCTAACTGTCAGGACAGTCAAACACAGGAACAAATTGCCCAGGGAGGTTGTGGAATCCCTATCTCTGGAGATATTTAAGAGTAGGTTAGATAAATGTCTATCAAGGATGGTCTAGATAGTATTTGGTCCTGCCATGGGGACAGGGGACTGGACTCGTTGACCTCTTGAGGTCCCCTCCAGTCCTAGCATTCTGTGGTAGGCGACTAGATTGGCTTACCAGGGACATCCTTGGTGAGCTTAAACATAAAAAGGAAGCTTACAAGAAGTGGAAACTTGGACAGTTGACTAGGGAGGAGTATAAGTATATTACAGGCAGTCCCCGGGTTACGTCAGTCCGACTAAAGTCGGACCCCTAGTTACGAACGGGGGAGGGGTGGCCCAGCCTCCCCACACT